CGGAGATTTCCAAATAATAGCTACACTGCAAGTCTGCAACACAGTGATGGTTGGTAGTATTGTCTATCAATAAAAAAGCTAAAATAAATTAAAATAATAAATTTATTATATAACAAACTAAATTTAACAGTACTTGAAAATGGAGATGCCTGTGATTTCTGGATCCCGTTCACGCTGAAAAATATACTAAATGACCAAATGTAAACATTGTTGTACAATTGTAAACATCACGCAGTGCTTATTGGGAAAGAAATCATCATATTTATTACACTCACTGTAAGCATCTTTGTTGAATAAGTCTAGTGGTTGTTTTGCCTAGCTCAGGTGTTACCTGTAGTAAAAGGCGTTAATAGTTATTTTATTTTGTTTCAGATGCAGACCACAAAAGTACCACAAGTACTGAAGGTAATTATTGATATGTTTTTAGATTTATTGCCCCATGAAACATAGTGTCAGCTGGGGATACAGTCAGTCTTGTCTTTCTGTCCTTTCAATTTTCAGGCCAATTCTTTTGAATCTTGCTGTGAATCATGGTCCAACATTTGTGTCTACATGCATCAGTCTGTCTGTCCTTTGTTTGTTTGCATTTAAGTACAGATTCATAATTTTAAAACTTTAATTTTATAGCCAAATTTTGAACACTTCTTGTTGGTCATTATCTTACACTTGGTAGTGCAAACTACCAGCTTACATACATCAGTCTTTCTATCTGTCTGTTTGTCTGGTTATTCACATATTCACAGGCCATTTATATTATTATAGCCCTATACACTGTATGTCTGTGTCAGTGTTTCGGTCTGTCTCTCTGTCTGTCTGTCTGTCTGTCTGTCTGTCTGTCTGACTTGCAGTTAAGTCAGACATACATCTGTCTTCTTTTTTGTTTATTTGTCCATATATTTATATAGAGTCATAAATCAATGATCACACCACTACCAATGTCAAATAAAATGTTTGGAATAATTATTCCAATGTCAAAAATAAATTATAAATGAAATCAAAAATCAATTTCAAAATGTTCAACATGCTTCTCATCATGGCTGGTTTATTCAGATTAGTAAAACATCAAAAATTCACTTGTATAAAGCAGTCAGTCACATACAGTACCTTACCGATCACTCCACAACTAATGTCTGATTGAAAAAAAATCATTTTAATAAAAAGAAACTTTTGATGAAACTACTAATGATTAAAAAAATCATTGCAGGATCTATGTCAGCACAAGAAAACTCAATGTCAAAAAGTTTCCATCATGGTTGTTTTTGTGATGTGATCTTTTGGCCTATCTTATTCACAGACTGTTGCCTTTGTGCCATGGGGTGTTCTAATCATAACCCTATCCTACAAAATCTGAAATAGAGCATTCTTGGTAGCTCCATATTGATTGAGGTAACACACAAGACAGTCTCATACCTGTTTACGGCT